TTAACGCTTCTCAGGTTGAGAATAAATAATAGATTAATAATATTAATATTTTTTTTCTTTTCTTTTATATTTTATATTATTTTTCCATTTTCTCCTATTTTATTTATTTTGTATTTTTTTTTTAATAATGTCATGCGTTAACAGTAAGTTATACTAATCTGTTTTTTTTAATTATTTTAATTAACTGCAATATGCCTATATATGTTAATTTATTCTTCATTTCTTCTTTTTCCCTCCATTTTTCCTCCACCCCCCTATTTCTCCATTTGCTTTCTTTCTTTTATATCTTATCCCTTTCTTCACTTTTTCTCTTTTCCTTTTTTTCCTGTGACGTCTTTTTTGTTTTACTCATTAAATAGGTCAAATATCTGGTCCTTACCCTTCCTTATAAACATTATCTTAATAAAAATAATTTTAAAATTATTCCTCTTTTTTCTCTCCTTCTCTAATAAAGTGACCATATCTGTCGTCCTCCTCCTCCGATATTTGTATCACCTCAAATCAACTTAAATTTAACCCTCAAAATCTTGTATAAAAATAATATGTAAAATTTTAAACCATTGTCTTTTTGCTTTTGAAATGTAATCTGTGGAACCAGGAAAATCACTTTCCTGGGGAAATAAAATAAACCCTAATGTTTGTTGTTTTTTTTTAAACAATTAACCTTAATTTTACTTTGAGCTTTCTCTTTTACATCCTCCTTGGGATTATCCATGCAGATTACAAAACATTTCATCACCTATATATATGTATATATATATATATATATATATATATATATATATATGTATATGTGTGTGTGTGTGTGTGTGTGTCGAGGAAAGGCATTTGGGCTGAGAACATTTCGAAACTTTGGCGTTTACGTCTTTTCTGTTTTACTCATTTGCACCTTTCTTTCTTACAGGTCAGTCTGTAACATTGAACATGCCTTCATACAGCAGTTTAAACTTAAGAAATATGAGAATAACATGTGAATTTCAAACAGATGATCAATTTACCGAAATGACATTGCTCAATGGAAATAATGATTTTGTGGCATCTTACTCACTTCACAAGGCAAACCATTTTTTGAATACCTCCAGGTAGTTCCGTTCGTCTTGAGGTCGGATCTGGTAATCAACATTTAAAACGAGGTTCTTTTTGACATTTGTCTTTCCTCGAGTCAGTTGTCCTGACTTTACATGGTACGTTTGCCGTGGGAGTGGTTCTAATGATGGTATTTTTGTGGATTCTACAAACATCACATTACAAAGTAAGTATCATTATAAACATTTCTCTTAAAGAAATTTTAACAATTTAATTTTTTTACAATAATAAAGTGTCTAATATCTGAAAATACTAAGATGACAATGAGATATTTAGAAATTTAAAAATCAATATTTGATAGTTTGAATATGAAAATGATTCTGCTAAGACAAATGAAACTTTTTTGTAGATATTACATGTTAATGGTTGAAATTTGGTTGAAGAAAAAACGATCTTGGCAGATGTAAAACTATTTGTTCTATAATGTTTTCTTACTAAAACAATTTAAAATTAATTTTCTTGTTTCCTTTTTTCAGTTTCACCATCAATTTATAGCTTCATGAAAAACATCATCATCTGATCTTGTTGTCAATCAACAATCTTCCTTTGTGTGCAGAAACTGTCCGAAAAAAAGGTCCTTTTTCTCTGCAATGGTATCGAAGAACTATCACATCATCCAGCCAGCTTCAAGTTGACCCTGCAAAAGTAATTGGCCAAAATGAATGTAGCCGAAGCATTTCAAGCTCAATTAATTACAATGTAAGTGAGACAGATGGGCCGAACCTTATTCTCTGGTGCCGAATAGAAAGTGGACGAAGGGAAATGCATATAATCATGAACTTCACTGTTCAAGGTAAAATCAGTATATTTTTAAATATGAAAAGCGGTTTTCAACTTTCATTTCAACATTTAAATTTTAATCAAAATTATACAACGAAAATCTGAGCCTTCCATTTATTCTCTTTCCAAAACAGTTTTATTTTTATTCTAAGTTATGCATTTTGTTCAAATTCTCTTTTTGTTTTTAAAGACTGATAGCATATTAAAAATACGTTCAGCCAATTGATTTGACCATATGTAATAATTTAAACTTTATTTTCTGTAATACTTTTATAAATACTTTTTTGGATTTTTTTCCTTTTTTTTTTGTGTGTAGGTCTAATATCTGAGATTTGTAGCTGGTTGAATATTTTTTGTGAAAATGAGAATGCTAAATTTTTGAGAGTTTAATAATTATCATTTGCTTTTAAATATCAACAAAACTTTCAAACTCTCTAAAATATTAGTGGCATTTTCTCAGTTTAACCTGGTACAAGGCCAGTATAACTGAGCGCAGTTAACGATGATGGAAAATAAAACAATGGTCATAGCCATTCTGTTAACATTGCAATTACATTTCAATAAGAAATGAACTTGAATTTACCTGGGACACTAATAAAGACACTGAAGAGGATCTACTCGTTAGACAACATTATGGTCTGCTAAACCTGATTTCATTACTCCCTAATCAAACATTGAAAACAATGTGGGAACATTGAGTTTGGGTTTGATATAATTTTAATTTGAAAAAAAAAAACTATTCAGCATGGAATTTCTGGTAACATTTTAATCAAAGTAAAATAGTATAAATAGTTGCGTGTTTACACAAATTGGCCTTAAACAATAATCTAACGATCTCTGCTGATTGTACGAATGCAAACAAGATAATTCTTTAGGGCCGTTTTATAATTCCCTTTGCAATTTGGTACAAGGCAACGATAATGAATTGGTTCTATTTGAAATTAATTCAATATTTAAAAGAAAGTATTAAATAATAATTTAAAAACGCCGACGTAAGAAATCTGATAGACAAAAACCAAAAATATTTCGAAGATGAAAATTATTAAGGAAAGAACACAGTACTTAACTTGTACCCGACTTTTCTGCTAAATTCCTTCTTTTTTTTTTTTTTTTTTTCCTGCAGGTGAAGGGCTTCTGTATGTCTTGAAGGGTTTACGAGAATTTTCATTGTTTCATCAGCGAACTTCGACTCATAATTGACAGTGGAACGTCACTCAAGGTCAACCATCTCTACTGCGTGACTCGGGCGTGCTTTCACACTTTTGCGTTTATTGTTGCCCACGTGCATGTACTTGGCCTAATTCGCCAACTTCGGATACCGCAAGTTGTTAATTACGTGTTCTAGCTGCTTTTTTTGTTTTATAGTTCAACCCAACCTAAACACGTTAGCCAATTGTACTAAAACCCCATTTCCTTTTGGATTTACCCTTGGTTTACCTTTTAAATTTCCACTTTTTAGTTTCGAGTTCCCCTGTAACATCTGAACTCATTTTACTGGGTGTTTCCCTTTTTTTGTCTACGTTAGCAGTGCACGATTTTGGGATTTGTCGAAATCTTACTTATTATAAAACGCAGATTGTGTGTGTGTGTGTGTGTGTGTGTGTGTGTGTGTGTGTGTTTACGTTTATATATTGGATCGGATTTCCTACATTTTTCAACCGATTTCAACAGAACTTCACAGGACTGCGTAAAATTACCTTGTGGTGGTTGTGACAGTGCCAAAAATTAGAAAAACACAATTGTTTTTGCACGAAATCAATTTGAAAATATGATAAAACACGATTCTGTCGCCAGAATGAAAGGGGGACAAATCATATCAAGTTATACTTGTAAAACCCAGGTTGTGTGTGTGTGTGTTCGTTTATATATGGGATCGGATTTCCTACATTTTTCAACCGATTTCAACATAACTTCACTTTTTTTTTGGTAGGTAGTGTTTCTTATTGTCTTGCACACATTTTTCTTTATTTTTACATTCAGACTGATTTAAAAATTCCATTTACAAGACAATTGTTTATAATAAAATTCTATTCAATCGATAGACTCATAATGATTGAAAACAATGTTTTTGTTTGAGTTTGGGTTTGACCAATTCGTAAAAAAAAAAAACTAATTAAGACATGCGTGTCCGTCAACCTTAAACAATAATCTTTGTCAATTTTATTTTTCAGTCTTTATGATGGTCGATACTTGATCTATCTCTTACTGTTACATCCCCGGGCAACGCCGGGCTCTACTGCTAGTCTCTTATAAAACTATGAAGGGCCTATTAGTGCAAATAAAGTCATATCTGCTGAGGAGAGAAGACAAAACTTGAAATGCTTAATACAGTCTGTTATTGTGGCAAACAAATGCTTTGATATCATCAATCAGGAAACTTTTTATTTGTCTTCATTTTCATCCTAATATTTTGGTTCTGTCTAAATGTGACTTCTATTGAAGTTTTATAATATACATTTGTATAGGGTTTAAGAATATAAACGGTTAAGTACATGAAAACGAACAGGTTAACTGATTCATCAAGCTTCTTTTCTTGGTAAACAGGAATAAAGAACAGCAGAGAAATGAATGCTTGTTTTAAATAGACTTTTTGTTTTAATAAATTGTTTGAGTTTCTAATTGAGAATTAAAATCCATCATCTTTGATTAACTTTCCGTATTCAATTTCTCTCATTCTCTCTCTCTTTCTCTCTCTCTCTCATTCTCTCTCTCCCTCTCTGCTTCTACAGTTTGTCTTCTGTCTTGTGTATTTGAGGCTGAGTAAATATAACAGTAATATTGCTGTGTTCCTCTATAATTAGTTAAAGAACATGGACTGTATTCACGAATTCCTATTACCTGTGCTTTCACACTTTATGTTGTTACTTCTAGATTTTAGAGAAAAATTGAAAATTCTCCAATTGATAAATTTATGAGATCTGAATGAGTTTAAAGATGCCTTTATTTAATGAAGCCAAAAATGTCTTTTTCTTTTTGGTAGTTTTTTTCTTTATTTTTATTGTTACTCCACCTTATACGATGTGCTCAGGAGTCAGTCGCTTACCCGGATGTAGATTTTAAAAATTAATCGCTAGCGATGTTGGTATATTTTTGCAATGATTTGTGGTTGATATTTGTTTTAATATCACTTTTAGTTTTTTCATTGTAAATGTAGTTGGCATGTGCAACAGTCATCAATGTTGTATGTTTCATCTTCATGCTTCCTTTCCAGAAATGTCCACAACTGCAGCTCCTTTTACCCAACAACCTGTTAAAGGTAAGTCCCGATTCTGCCTTATAAACTTTTACGTACGCTTTTTGGATGATTTCTTCTTTTTTTTTTTTTTTTTTGCCTGCTTCATGTTCGAGATTTGTACGGAGACAAGAATGCAATTGATGATATATTTGACTTTGGACATGTAAGACTCATCTATGACCCTTGCAATTACAACCATTTTTATTATCTGACACCTATTGCTTTTGTCTCCAACAATGGCAAAATAATCTTGCCTGTCTTTTCAGACGACATTTTAAAAATGTTTACTTTATATTTGAAGAATGGACCAAATTATAATCAATGATTGCATAACCTATTTTTTTTCTCAGTTAATTTGATTGATTTGTTTTTGACGGCTTATCAACCTTTTTGATGTTATTTAAAACGGAAACATATTTTTGTATTGTTAGAATTTTTTGCGATAATAAAGATTTTCTGATACAAGTCTTACTATTTAACCCATAGTTGAGAGGAGAAGAGGTGGGTTCATACCTTTTCCAAGGGTATTTGCACGTACACGAGTATAACAAACAAGACTGGAATTCAAAATCAGCTTTCCGATTTCTCATCCCGAGTTTAGATCCATCTACACGTACATCCAAGCTTAAAGCCCCTTGTATTCCCCAAAGGTCACCTATCCAGGTTCAACGTTGCTTAACTTCGATGATCGGGCGAGAACCGGTATTTCAACTTGATATGAACGTAAGCCTCTCCTAGTTAAAAAAAATATAATGAAGTAAAATTTAAAAGGTCTTGGCTTAATCAAAAGGAGATTTCAAAACAAATCTCTCTCTCTCTCTCTCTCTCTCTCTCCCTCTACACACACACACACACACACATATCTCCACACGCACAAACACACAAATCTCGACATACACACACAAATTTCTATTCTCATACACACATAAATCTCCACATATTTATATACAAACGCACACAAGTCTCCATATGCACACACAAACACAAATCTCCATATACACATACACGACGCACATAAATCTCCATACACAAACACAGCCACATACAAGAAAAGAGAGAGTGAGAATATTTGCTTGTATGTCTTAATATTTATATGTCATCATGTGTGTTTATAGCTCTCTCTGTGTCTGTATTTCTTTCGTTATGTGTCTCTACATGCCTGTGCCTATGTGGGTGTGTGCATGTCTGTCTCTGCATATCTGTGCGTGTCTCTGTCTCTAGATGTGCATGTATGTCCATGTATATATGTGTGTATGGATCTGAATGTGTATGTGTCTGTCTCTCAGTGTACATTTGTGTGTTTGTATGCGCGTGCAACTCTATCTTCTTTGCTCTTTTGCTTGTTTTTTTTTTTTTTGTATTTGATGATTTGCTCTTTGTTTTCCATTACAGGTGCAGCTGTAACATTGAAAATGCCATCATACACGACTTTGAACTCAGTGAACATGAGAATAACATGTGAATTTCCAAATGATGATCACCTTGCGATGATAACATTGCTCAGTGGGAATAAAGCCACTGAGGCAAATTACGTAGTTGCATGTGATAAGTTTGAAATAAGTTCCGATACTTTTGTCTCTCTAGAGGTCAACTCTGACGGATCTGCGCAAAGACGTTCTGTGACATTTGTCCTTTCTCAAGTCAACTGTCATGATTTTACATGGTACGTGTGTCGTGGGATTGTAGCTGAAAATGGTCTTCCTGTAGATTCTAAGAACATCACATTACAAGGTACGAATCATTCAAAATATTTCTGTAAAAATAGAATTTTGGCACAATAATAAATTGAAAGTGAAAATATTAAAATGAAAATGAGATATGGTGGAATGTAAATCAGCATTTGGTAAACAGTTTAAATTTGAAAATGATGCTACTCAGACAAATGATATTTTTGTAGATATTACATGTTAAATGTTTCGTATTAGCAAAAGGAATATTATGTGAGGAAATATAATTAACTGGATAAGATTTTGTTATTAAAACAATTAAAATTACTTTCTTTGTTTCCTTTTCAGCTTTGCCAGCAATTGCTAACCTCATGAAAACATCATCTGAGCTAGTTCCCAATCAGATATCTACATTTACGTGCAGAGGAACCATTCAAAAAGAAGGTCCTTTTTCTGTGAAATGGTATCGAAAAAATCTCACAGGTTTAGGTCAGCTTCATGATGACCAAACAAAAATAATTGGTCAAAATGAATGCAACCGTAGTATTATAAGCTCACTGAATTACAATATAAGCAAGACTGATGGACCGAACCTTGATCTCTCTTGCCGAATAGAAAGTGGAAAAAACATCGTTCATAAAATGGAAAAATTTGCTGTTCAGGGTAAAGTATATTTTATTTATGTGTGTGTAGATGAATGGGAATCCATTTTCAAATTTCAAAATCAACATTAAATTTGAATACAAACAAGAAAATCTGAAACTTTCATTTGCTCTCTTTCCCAACGCCTTTAATTTTATTTTAATTTTGTCATTTCTGTTTTATTTATGTCACGGGTCCCGTCAGATCATGGGCCATCATGGACCTCCACAACTTCCTCTCCTTGGTAGCGCTTAATAAATTTTGTCTTTCTTTAATTTCTCATAAAACTTTTCCGACATTTATTTACTCAAACTCATTAAATACGCGACGTATTGTTTTCCTCCGTCCTTGCTTTGAAAATGTCTTGTGAGTATCAGACTTTCCAAGCTCTCTTTCTTCATTGCGTATCATGAAAAAGTCCATTGTCTCTTATTTTTGTTTCCATTTTCTTTAAAGCTTCGTAGTTGCTCACATATTCAGTCCATGCTATCCTCAGTATCCTTCTGTAGAAACATATTTCATTGCTCATCTTCATCTTTGAGGAAATTGTCCAGCATTCACTGCCATATAGAAGGAGAGATAACACGTAAGAGTTCAGTACTCTTTTCTTTCTTTCTAATGACATTTTTCTGTTTCTTAATACTCTGCTTAGCTTTTGGAATGCATCTTCGGCTATCTCAATGAACCTTCGGATTTTAGTGTCGCATTTTCCGTCCTCTATTAAAACATTTCCCAGATATTGTAAATAATAATAATTTTATACTGGTTTGATTTTGGTATCTCCTATTTGTAATTTGCATTTTGGTCTAAAACTTTTGCTCATGACAATGTATTCCGTCTTTTTTAAGTTGATATTGAATCCTTTCTTCTTGCTTTACATCACGAAAACTTTTCATTTTTGAAGAAAGGTAGCGTATTGAAAAGAAATTTAGCAAATTGATTCGACGATATGTAGTAATTTAATCTTTAGTTTTTATATGATGTTATAAATTCTGTTCTTGGTATTTTCTCTTTTGTTTAGCAAATAAGTATAATATTTTCATTTTGTGGATGGCTAATTTCAGTAGCTGAAGAGATTAAACTACATAATTTTGACTTGTATTTAAAAATCAACTTACAAAACTCTTACCAAATCTAACTTGTGGCAGATGAAGAAGAAAATTCTAAATCTATCTTGACACACCACAAGAAATGGAACAAAACTCGAACCATTTGGGAAGATCTTAGAATCGGTAAATTTGCACAAAGTAGATGTTTTTAATCAATTTCTTCCAACTCGGGCTCAGGACAATATCAGATGCCGAGTATCTGGCATGGCCAATCCATCTAACCGAAGTGGTAGATATTTTTTATCAAATCTTTCTTTCGGAAACCATCCTCTGAGACTATTATGTATTACGTCAATGTTGTATCTTAATGGAAAAGTGAGTAACAGTGAATGACGAAACAAAAGGAAGAAAACAGATTTGTAACTATGTTTTTTTATTTTGTTTTTTTTCTTTGTTTTTTTTTGTTTTGTTTTTTTTTTTTACATTGAGCGGACCTGTGTGGGTTTATGTGTTGTTGAAACACATGTTGTTTATTCCTGCTAGAAGAAGGTCCAACTACAAGATGGTAATATTATTTTTCCAAAAACGTATAGCTAGTAATATTATTTTTCCAAAATGGTATAGCTGGTAATATCGTGTTTCAAAAACGCGCTGCTGGGAACATTATTTCTTCGAAAACGTATAGCTGGTAATACTATTTTCCCCAAAACGTATAGACGACAACATTATTTTTCCAAAAACGGCCTTACTGTTGGATGTAGTTTATCGCCGTACCCATGACGCGGATGCAGTTTGCCGTCATACCCATGGACACGGAGCAAAACAACAGTAATAAGGCAAAAAGTTAACGAAGTAAGAATGGTGTTAGCACACAAAAAGGGATACAGTCAAGTGAATCTTAATTCTTAAATTAATGGTTGAATACGCTCATGACGCATCGTTAAATATTTGAGCTTAATAAGTTTAAACAAAATATTACAATAAAACTCATCAATGCGAATGCCTAGTCATTATTAAGTAAGTAAAAATATTTGAAACTGGTCACATTTTCTATTACACTGAAACAGACTTTAAACACTTCTTTCGTCACTGATATGCTTTTTCCATTTTTTTCACACTATCAAAACGGAATAGTCCATTATTTATGAGGTACTGGCAGGACGTAACAGTCGTGCTAAGAGAGGCATAAGCAGAATTATTCAAAGATTCCTTTGTGTATGCGAAATACAGGCGTTGTCTAGAATGACCATGCCTGTGAGTTATTTTTCAAATTATAAAATAACTGGGAAATTCTATTCTTGAAACAAGATAATCCTGATGCAGAGAAAATTATTCAAAAACTAATAAACATGCTGTACCATATAACCACCACTACAAGAAAGTGGTGGAGGGAATTTATTTAATTTCAACAATACGGAGTACATTGTTGTCAGCAAAAGGAACGGTCCAACATTCAAATTACAAATTGGAAATACCAAAACCAGGCAAGTGTAAATATCTGGGAAGAAGACAGAAAGTTTGACACTAAAATCCTTGGGGGCATTGGAATAGTGAAAAAGTATTTCTGAAAGCTAAGCAAAGTATTAAGAAACAAGAAAATTTCGTTAAAAACAAAGAAAAGAGTGATGAACTATTACACAATATCAGTCCTATTATATGACAGTGAATGCTGGGCACTCTCCCTCTCAATTGAATTAGAAATAGAAACAACAGTAATGAGGTTCTACAGAAGGATGATGAAAATAACTTTATGCTGAATATATGAGCATCGACGAAGTTCTAGAGAAAAGGAAAACAACAAGGATACTTTTCCTTATCATCAGAAAAAATCAGTATCCATTTCTAGGGTAGTTTTTTTTTTTTTTTTTTTTTTATTATTGTGTTTTTTTTTATCGTATTTTTGGTTTCTATTATATTGCTTTCACTCGCCTCTTTTCATTCGCTGCTGTTCTTTTGTTATGTTGTTGTTTTGCTAGTCTTGTTTTATTTGCTATTCGGATTTTTTCCTGTTTGTTTTGTTGATTTTTCTTTGTTTGCTATTGTGTTGTTTTTTTTAGTTTAGTATTTGTTTTGATTCTTTTCTTTTTTTAATTTCTATGTGATTGCTTTTTTCTGTTGGATTGGTTTTATTGCCATGTTTTTGGTTTTTGTCGGCTTTTGGAGCTTGTGGCCTGCTGTTTTTGTAGTTTACGCGGTTGTGTGTTTGTGCTGGTGACTTTTGAGTGTATTTCTTTTGTTTTGTTTTGTGTGTTTTTTTTTTTTTTAATTTTGTTAATATTCGTTTTTCATTCCACCGTTGTATATACATAAATCAGATTTCTGGCCATGCTAATTTTTTTTTTTTTTTTTACATAACTTCTTTTTTTCCTTTTCATAAAAAGCTGACAAAACGTTAGATAATTATTAGAAGAATTATAAGTTTTTAATGTGGATTTAGTAAATATTCAGATTCTTTTTATTTACTCACATAAAATCCAGTTCATTTAATCTGGTTTGTCACTAAAAAATCTTTTAATGAAAATTAAAGTTTGTCGGAGTTACCTCCTCCTTCGCTCCTTAAACTAAGAGAACGGGTCATTTCGACCTTGACCTCTCGTTTGTGCTCCCTATACGCTTTAAACCTGTGGTAGAGACTAGCAAGTTCCCTTTTTTGTTAAGTTATATTACAAACCTAGTTGTAATATACTTATAGACATTTTTAAGCCTTAGTTCCTTTTAGCTAACCTTGACTTATCTGTTTATAGAGACTTTCCTGTATTAGCTTCCCAATCCTCTTGCTAGACTCTCTTACCACAAGATAATGACTTCTCACTAAATTCACGGTTGAGTCAGTCGAGTCAGTACTTTCTGAGCGACTGTTCAGTTGAACTCTCTTCCTACGGATGGGATGAACCCGAAAGGAGGCTGAATATCGTCGGCGACTGAAACGGTCGGATACGCGGGCCCCAGGCCTTCGCGGCCAGGAACGTCGATCATCGGGTTGCGTATTAAGTTACTCTCCTTTTTTTTTTGTCTGCCAACTTGACGATAGTTGGAAACTTTCCTTTCTCTCTCTCCTTCGCCTACTACTCCTGGCTCCTTGGCCCTGTTTGACGCTCGGCATTCCGTCCCTACTGGCTGCCTGCACGTTGTCCATAACCTTTCCCGTACACTATGTTAGTAATTATTACGGGAGGCTACTAATATCGGACTCGACCGGCAAACGCGCGACGCCTGCACTGGACCTTTGACATGCCCGAACAACGCCAGCTCCTCTCTCCTTCCCAACACGTCAAGTTGGCATCCCGGCCACGACCAACATCAGCTGCAACAACCAACAGCGATCATCCCGGCAACGACCAACATCAACTACAGCGATCACCTGCAACGACCAGCAGCGATCATCTGTGACGCGGCAACGACCAACATCAACTACAGCGATCATCTCTGCAGCGACCACCTGCATGACCAACAGCGATCACCTGTAACAACCAACCTCGACCATCAATGCCTGCACTAGAACTTCTGCACCTCTACCATTCCGACCACCTTTATTACTTTTCTAGAATAAATTAGCATATATCACATATATCCTCGTTCTGTCGTCTATGTTGTTTCACCTTGTCAGTTTTAACGTCTTCAAAAATGTTAGCGGGCCTCCTGTGACCTCATTCACCCTTCTGTGATACTGGGGCGCATTTGGTCCGCTACAAGTTAATCCTTGAATAAAACAAAACAAATGACCAATTTAGAACTTATTTTTCATATAAATTTTTCTGAAAACTTGTTTCATTTCACTCTGGTCATGTGATTTTCAGAGATTGATTTTTAGCATTGGACTTTGCCAGCATTTAGCAAATCATATTGTCTCCTAGGCTTACTTGAATCTTGCAAAGATATTTAACAATATGATAAATGACACGGATTTGGTGAAATGATTTTTATTAGTTTTTATTCAAAAAGACCTAAAACTTTGTTACATTTTTCACTGTGGAATCTTACATGTCAGGAATATTTAAGAAATATAAAACGAATTAAAAATTTGTTTGCTTCTTATTTTTTATTTATTTATTTATTTTTCAGGAGGACAAAAAGGGTCAAGTGAATCCTGCTTTGGAGGATAAACCCGATGATGACATCGCTCCCCATAAAATGAATGCCCCCTTCGAAATATGGACAGACTTCTGGGGGTCACTAACCCTGTAATGGAACAGGGTTACTCTATATAGTCAGCTCTTCTTACATAAACTATTTCTCACTAACACTATTTTCATTTCGCTAATTAAAAATGGATTTTCTATTTTGTATCTATTGTCAAATTAGAAATTAAAGGTTTTATAAGCATTTTGCATGTTTTTATCATCGTTGCCTTTTTCTTAAATACTAGATCAATTTGTCCCATGACGTTTTTGTTAAAACTGATAACGAAACAAATACCAAATGTATCTCCTTGGCCTCAATTTATGCCAATCTTATTGAACGGAGCTGTATCATTTGTTCAAAATCTTTACCGCCATTAATTTTCCATTAAATGAGATCTTTAGGACATCCTTCAACATTGGCCATTTGTTTCTGTTAATCAATATGGGCATATATACATACATGCATACATATATACATATATAGATAGAAGTGCATATGACTAATCATATTTACAAAAATAATAGGTTGATTTAATATCCATTGACATATCACCATATTTGATACAATATTCACAACAACAAATATATATATAAATATAGGAGGCATGGCAGAGTAATGGTCAGCGGCTTGGATTAAGGAATAGGAGAGCAGAGTTCTAGTCTAGTCGAATCTATTCACTTACGTGCTAATACCCTTGGGAAAGGTATGAATCCACTTCTTTTCCTTCTACCTATGGGTAAATAGCAGGACAGATTGGGTTCTATAGCCTTGGATGTCAAGTGGTCTAGAAGAAGGACAACTCTGGATTCGAAACCTGCGGAGGATCGTTTTGGGACCTTGTGGCATGTAGTGCACCAGGTCTCTGTATTCGACACTTCAAAAAGTGTGGATGGTTCTGCACAAAACCTTCACCACTATAATCAAATCACATGTACTGTCGGTTCCTAAGAACTGATCTGATTGACCCTCATACGTCGAATTGGACGGGAAAGTCAGTACATATATATATATATATATATATATATATATATATATATATATATATATATATATATATATATAAAAGAAATATACAGAGAGGCATTAAAAAATTGTTTATAATTGTATATATATGTATATATATATATATATATATATATATATATATAGATAGATAGAGAGATAGATAGATAGAGAGAGAGAGAGAGAGAGAACAAAGTGGAAAAAGGTTTTGTGTGACGCGTTTCGTCCGTTAGAAATTTGTTTTCGTTTGTGTGACTACACATGCGCATGATCGAGAGATGATGAGAATTATAAATTTTAAATTATTTTCCTTTATTTTTAATTGTGTTTTGGGTATATAATCTAGCCGATTTCATGAAAAAAAGTGGTCTCCGTTGGGTCACATTCGTTTCCCCCAGTCTGTTGACAACTGAACTCTCTTTACACTTTCCAACGCATGACGTTCTCATGTGTATGCCAAAAACCCCCACCTATGAGTAAATCAACCTTTTCTTCGATCGGCTGACTGGCTGACTTTAATGGCTGACTTGCACTCGGCTATTATAACCATGCGTATCAGGATTTGTCCGAAATTACCTCTGGGCCAGAATAACAAAGTATCTTCCACTTTCCGATACATAGCATTCGTATGTGCTTTGCCGAATCTCGAACGATGAAGTCAGACAACTTTTACTTTGGTTGTTCCAACTCAGCGCAAGGCTGACTTGTGTTCGACCATTATAACTTTGCTTATCCTTACTTGCCGTAAATTCTGGAAACAAAAAAAAAAAACGAACAAACCCAAGAGACACTGAGAACATTGTTTCACTACAGTTTATATAAAAAGGAGAATAAACGGTCCGTAATTAAAACCCAAGATTTTGTATGCTTCTTCTTAATTGTTTACTTATAAACACGTACAAGCCTACATCTATACATAGACACAGAAGCCTTCCATATTATCGTTATAATCGTTATCTTTTAATATCAGTTATTTTTGCTAATCTCTTATTGAGCCTAATAAGATCTATGGTATGAACGAATCTTCTATCAGTTACATAACTTTTATTTCAGTATATTGTTACAGTTGTTTGATTTTAGTATTACTTATTGTTATTAATCTCTTATGGTACATAATAAGATCGCTAAGAACTAATCTTCTATCAACTACTTAAGTTTCATGTTCTATGTTCCATGAATCCATCTCCTCCCCCCAGCTATGGGTTAATTAGCAGGACGTATATTATTAAAACATTATTATTTTTAAAAAATAAAATAAAAACTGCGTACAAAATATTTAGATTTCAGTGTTAAATAACCCACAGAGGTTGATATGCTACTAAATAAAGACAACCAACCATGATCCCATCGCAAAAAGACTTGATTTCTAATGGACACAGATCACAGAAGTTTCCTTATAGTGTAGTGCTTTAATTGTCCTATTTCCTTATTAGTTATGAATGTATGTATGTATGCATGATAAAATTTTGCATTTTTTATTCCACTTGAATAAATTCTGCAAAGTAATCATTCATCATATATTTTGTCTCTCTATCAACAAAGATTCCTGATATCCACTCTG